GGGATCACTCCAATGTCCATGATCTCTGCACTAGACAGAGGAACGTGGCCATCTATGGCAGGATAGCTGCCAGCCTGGCAACCAAAGGCCACATGCGAACCCAGGAGCAGGTTTGCATGAAAATCAAGGTGGTCTGGCGAGACCCCCAACCCTGAGCCCTGAGCTTCCCCTCCCCCTTGCTTCCCCTTCCAGCTCCCTCTTCCAAGGTTTCTCCCTCCCCTCTCCCACCTTCTCTCTTCCCCTCTCCCACCTCCTTTCCCTAGTCTCACCAGAGTTTCATCCCTCCACCCCCAGTTTTATTAAATAAAGGTAGTTTGTGTTCATGAAAATACATGTATTTTATTTGACATCAGGAAGTGGGGCTGGGGGGAGGGTTAAGTGGAAGGATGTGAGGGAGGAATGAGGCACAAGCCTCCAGTGGGGCAGACCAGGGAGGTTCTTAGTGCTCCTCAGGGTGGAAGCTCTCCTGCAGGGCCTCCTGGATACTGACAGCCCCCCGATGGACCTCCCGGATGACAGCCTGCAGAAAGTACAGCCAGGCTCGCAGCAACATGTTCACAAGAAGCACCAGAGTACCCAGGGGCAGCTCTGGCTCCATGTTGCAGAGTGCTGTGATGTCCCAAGTGAGGGCAACAAGAGCATACAGAGACACAAATGCGTTGCTGTCCCTCAGCGAGGCAGGCAAGCAAACAGGGACACCTGGGACATGTGTGTGTGTCCCTTTAAGCACAAGCCTCAGATAGCCTCAGGTAACAGCCACACAAAGACACTCCTGACCTGATGCCCTACCCCTGACCTGGTTCCGGCCGGTCTTAAATCCGAATCAATATCCACTCAGTGTGGACGCGCTATTTCTAATTAGCAAAACGCTAATTCGAACTGCATTTTGTGTGTAGATGCATTAATTCAAATTAACTTAATTTGGATTAACTATTTCGAATTAAGATAACTCGAATTAATGCTGTAGTGTAGACATACGCTATTAGTTTAATACAGGTGGAAAAATAAGCAAGAAGGAAAAATATCTGAAGATAGCCACCACTTATCAAATACTTAAGCTTTGTTAAGGGACAACATCAGAACTATTTGCTTTGATTTTTGCCTCCTTTTCAAGCCACTCTACAAAACAGGTTTTGATTAGGACAGAAAAGCACATAACACATCAACACTCTGGCAATGTTAAAAGGGCCCTTCTCTGTAGAAGGGGTGAAAGGTTGTTTGGGGGAACCAGACTGAAACATGGGACCCTCTGTAGGTGCCTAAAAAAATTAGTTTCAGAGAGGTATCTGAGTTAGTCTAACAGGAAAAATTTAAAAAACAACGAATAGTCTGGTGGCATTTTAAAGACTAACAAAACATGTAGATGGTATTATGAGTTTTTGTGGGCACAGCCCATTTCTTCAGATGACTTCTTCATGTGAAGAAATGTGCTGTGCCCACGAAGGCTCATGATACCATCTACATGTTTTGTTAGTCTTTAAAATGCTACTAGACTATTTGTTGTTTTTTAAGTTTTTCCAGAAGAAATTAGGACTGCCTAAGTTATCATAAGGGTTGATAAGCCTATCAGTAAGAGAGACATGTGTTTTCATTGTTTGTTCCCTTAAAATCTGTTTTTTTCTCGAATGGCTTATTTCTGCTGTCAAACAATATCTCTGTTCTAAGAAAGCTGTCTGATCACTACATACCACTGCTCACACATTCCCTGAAGAAAGAATTGGAGTTAACCAAACTCAGACATGCTGGGTAAAAAAAGTTGACACACAATGGTACTAGGGCCCAGGGCCCAGTCTGAATGTGGGAGAACTGCAAATTTCACCTCAGGTTGAGCTAACATGGGGGCTGCCACATGAAGGGGTGCCCTTAGACACCAGAAAAATGACAGGAGTAGTTAGCCCTGAACCATGCCACCCAGTACAATATGTTCTTTTGTTTGTTTCCAAAGGGAGGCATAGGGGACAAAACTTTTTAGTGTGAGGTTTTAGAATTTCTTTCTGAGAGTTTTAAGGACAAGGTAAATCTCTTTTATGGATTCACTTGACGTTATTTCGAAATAACTATGTGAGTGTCCACACAGCAATTCCGTTATTAGGAAATAAATTCGAAATAACGGACGGCTTATTCCAACTTCTGTAAACTTCATTCCACAAGGAATAATGCCTATTTCGAAATAGCTATAGTGTGGATGCTCCACTGTTACTATTTTGAAATAGTTCCTCCCCAGGGCCATTCAAAGTAATTACTCCCTAGTGCAGTGGTCCCCAACCTTTAGAGGCTGCTGGGCACCCAGGGGCAAGGCCACTCACACTGGGCACCCAGAGGCAGGGACGCTGCGTGTCCAGTGCCAGCACAGCCCTTGCACCACACATCTGGGGGCAGGGCGCACGTGCCCAGGGGTGGGGCCACCATACACTGCGTGACCAGGGGCCAGCACCTCACATGTGCCAGGGGGCCGGGTCGGCCCCAGTCACTCGGCAGGAGCACAGAAATGGCCTGGCGGGCACTATGGCACCTGCAGACGCCGCGTTGGGGACCACTGTCCTAGTGTTC